CACAGCCTCCTTCATGGCATGAAGGGGAGGACACTGTTTAGAGGAGATGCATCTGGCCAGTGGAAGAAATATTAATCTAACAGCGAACGGCCTTGATGAACTTAAGTTGTTTTTCCTCTAAATGTTCAAGTATGAGAAAGTTCTTTATGTAGGGGGTGGGTTGGTTCCCCTGGGGGAAGTGTGTTTTGGGATTTTGTAAGATATAAATGTATGCACTGAGCTTGCCTCAGCCAGAGCTCTATCTCTCCGTCTGAGGACGTTAAATAAATTTGAACCTTTTTTCTTGCAAGAAATGCCTCTGTCTCAGCTCCCCAACTCAACAGAACGTTTCAGTCTATAAATATCAGGAAGAAAAATATAAAGACGTATTATCAGCTGACCGCTCAGAGAGCAGGCAAGGCATGAACTTCACTGTTGACATAACAGTAAATAAAAACACAACATAGACATTTTTTAAGCGCACACTGTGCTAAATGAGTTAATCTTATCAACAGCTAAACTTTCAGAGGCTGCTGGATGAAATGAGTTCAAGAGACAAACAGGAAAGTTGACTCTTAAAGATGAAAGGAACTCTATGTGACAAAGGTGGCTAACCTCACAACCACAGTTTCATGCAGACCAATAAAAACGGTTAAAAGTTTTGCCTTTATAGTCGATACCTGGATGCTAAACTTGTTTTAAACATCAGAACCAACACTGTTTAAAACATATACAGGTGCTGGTCATAAAATTAGAATATCATGAAAAAGTAGATTGATTTCAGTAATTCCATTTAAAAAGTGAAACTTGTATATTATATTCATACATTACATACAAACTCATATATTTCAGATGTTTATTTTGTTTAATTTTGATGATTACAAATGACAACAAATGAAAATCTCAAATTCATCATATCAGAAAATTAGAATATTACTGAAGACCAATAAAAACAAAGGATTTATAGAAATGTTGGCCAACTGAAAAGTATGAACATGAAAAGTATGAGCATGTACAGCACTCAGTATTTAGTTGGGCCTCCTTTGGCCTGTATTACTGCAGCAATGCGGCGTGGCATGGAGTCGATCAGTCTGTGGCACTGCTCAGGTGTTATGATAGCCCAGGTTGCTCTAATAGTGGCTTTTAGCTCTTCTGAATTGTTGGGTCTGGTGTATTGCATCTTCTTCTTCACAATACCCCATAGATTTTCTATGGGGTTAAGGTCAGGAGAGTTTGCTGGCCAATTAAGAACAGGGATACCATGGTCCTTCAACCAGGTACTGGTAGCTTTGGCACTGTGTGCAGGTGCCAAGTCCTGTTAGAAAATGAAATCTGCATCTCCAAAAAGTTGGTCAGCTGCAGGAAGCATGAAGTGCTCTAAAACTTCCTGGTATGTGGCTGCGTTGACCCTGGACCTCAGAAAACACAATGGACCAACACCAGCAGATGACATGGCACCCCAAACCATCACTGACTGTGGAAACTTTACACTGGACTTCAAGCAACGTGGATGAAGTGCCTCTCTTCTTTTCCTCCAGACTCTGGGACCTTGATTTCCAAAGGAAATGCAAAATTTACTTTCATCAGAGAACATGACTTTGGACCACTCACCAGCAGTCCAGTCCTGTTTCTCTTTAGCCCAGGCAAGATGCTTCTGACGCTGTCTGTGGTTCAAGAGTGGCTTGACACAAGGAATGCGACAGCAGAAACCCATGTCTTTCATACGTCTGTGTGTGGTGGTTCTTGAAGCACTCACTCCAGCTGCAGTCCACTCTTTGTGAATCTCCCCCACATTTTTGAATGGGTTTTGTTACACAATCCTCTCCAGGGTGCGGTTATCTCTCTTGCTTGTACACTTTTTTCGACCACATCTTTTCCTTCCCTTCGCCTCTCTATTAATGTGCTTGGACACTGAGCTCTGTGAACAGCCAGCCTCTTTAGCGATGACCTTTTGTGTCTTGCCCTCCTTGTGCAAGGTGTCGATGGTCGTCTTTTGGACAACTGTCAAGTCAGCAGTCTTCCCCATGATTGTGTAGCCTATAGAACTAGACTGAAAGACCATTTAAAGGCTTTTGCAGGTGGTTTGAGTTAATTAGCTGATTAGAGTGTGGCACCAGGGGCCATCAATTTTGAACCTTTTCACAATATTCTAATTTTCTGATATGATGAATTTGAGATTTTCATTTGTTGTCATTTGTAATCATCAAAATTAAACAAAATAAACATCTGAAATATATGAGTTTGTATGTAATGTATGAATATAATATACAAGTTTCACTTTTTAAATGGAATTACTGAAATCAATCTACTTTTTCATGATATTCTAATTTTATGACCAGCACCTGTAATCCAAAACAGTAAATAAAACCATGAAAGAGGAGAGTTTGCATCTGGTGACAGGCTGATATAAACGCATGTAACCTGAATATCAACAGTGGTGTTATTATTCTAATAACAGAAGCAGATGTGAAAAAGCAGGCAAACCAAAAGTCAACAGCAGTCCATACTTGTCAGGTTTGCGTTCCTCACTCTGCGCCCGTCTCTGTGCGAGGGCTCCAGCCGCCCTCCTTCTCCGATACTCTTCCCTCTTCTGCTGGATGAGGGCATCCAGCTTGGAGATGGTTCCAATCCCCAATATGGAGTCCTTAATCCCCTACCACACCCAAAAAAACACAAAAAACAATCATAGATTTAAATTCCCCCAAAATTTTCTCAGAGTTGGTGGAAGATAATTCAACTTGTTCACCCAACTGCAAACTAACGCCTCAGATAGAAGCTAGAAGAGAAGAAGATTTCAACCAGATGAGGCATCAATGGAGTAACTGGAAGAACAACCTGAGGCTCTTATCTTGGGTGTTAATCATAATACTGATGATTAAAGCTCACAGAGAAAGTGTTAAGACAGCTTTAATGTCATTCTCATAGTAAAATCTCCTATGAATCTTTCAGTCTGAGTTACTTTCTGTTTGCAAATAACATTGAAATGAATGAAACATTTCCTCCTACATCTGACTTTGAAAAAAAAATAACGTTTTATAATCGGATTTTCACCCTACATGTTTATGACGCGTCTCCAGATTCTCCATTTAAGAATGATTCGCTGGATGTTCCTACAGAAACAGCAGCCATGTTATCATCCAGTTAAAAGCTTTTAAAAAAATGTTAATGGGATTAATGCATTTATGGGTGTTGTGATTCTATAGTTAAATTCTATTCCCAGCCCGCTGGGAATTTATGTTTCTGATACTTTAAGATGTTTATTGCCCTCCCCTGTAGGGGTGGTAAAATATCTTATTTAATCAGATATTATTTCAGCTGTTATATACTGTTTATGACACACAGTCCTACTAACTGTGTGTTAGAACAATAGATGAAAGAGTGATTCGAGCACTAATCATGGTCAAACAGTTATTTCCTCACATACATGGAATAAATTAACCACAACTTCTGTTCAAAATATAAGAGTTTATTAACAAAAATCATTCAGCTCCACGTCAAACATATTTCAGTTTAACACTCTCAACTAAGACTAGTAAAACTCAACTAAACTAAACTAACTACTATGTACAAAGAGGAAGGGGAAAACGGTTGAAAAACATATTACAGTTTAAGATGGATTCTGTGTTTGAAACCAAAGTTTATCTGGAATAATTTGGGATATGATCAAATTAGCTTTTCACTAATTTTAAGGACATTGGAATGTTTTCAGACCAATTCAAAATGCAAATCCATGAGGTGAATAAAACATTATTTGGCCAAATAATGTTTTATTGAATGATTTGCTTAATCAAGAACCAAAAACCTTTAGCTAAATGTTTCTTTACCCTCTTTGAAATAGCTAGCAGCGAATAGACATCAGGATTCCACTAAATGACTCTTGGTCAGACTTGGTAATGGAAATGTAATGAGCATCTGAGAAACACATGAACACTAATGTTATATCAGTGTTTAAATCCTTAGTGAATAAAGCTTGTCCAAGCTTTAGCAACAGCTCAACACATATTCCTGTAGCATAGCGTAGCATGCAGTCTATTCTTTAGCATCAATTAGTGTTGTCTTTACTCCGCAGTAAACACACGATATGATTGGCATCATCAAAAGACACATTGCTTGTTCTGTCCCTAATCATGCCAGACCTGCAAACCTTTTTTCATGTCCATTTGGAAAGCTTGAGTTTCATCCAGTTTTGCAGCTCTGCAGTCAGGGACACATTGTCTCAGTCTCACAGCAGGGGTCCTCTCAGTCTCACACCAGGGCATGCTCCTCGTCCAGTTTGGCTCTGTAAGTTCTGAAACTCAAGAGAAATGTGTTGCAAAAGTTCTGTTTGCAGCAGTTTGGTTCTGAAGGGTTCGACTTATCCTCGATGGTTCTGGGGATCTGGTTCCCCTGGGGCCCGCATCTCCACTGTGGGCCACAGTGGGCCCCAGCTTTGAGCGCAGGAGCAGAAGCAGGCTGGATCAGACGAGGGAGAAAGAGTGAAGAGCGAGGCAAAAGAGAGAAAAAGAAAGAATCCTGTGTGCTTTGCGGTTTTCACTGTCCTCACAGGGAGGGGGGTAGGTTTTCACACCTCTGTGACTTCCGTGTGGCTGCTTTGGCTGAAAAAGGGGGGCTGCAGAAGTCCCCCCGCTGTTATTCACCAAAGCTGCGTTTTCTTCTCTGGTCATCCTATCAGGATGAAATATGGACACTGCTTCCCAATGTCCAAAAAGTATGATCATGGCATATGGCACAACATGGGGACACAGCATTAAGAAAATTAAAGTTTAGGTAATTTGAATATTTTCTTTCTGTAAGGGTTTCACTTGTTACATAATTACGACGGAGTATTAGGGCCACACATGAAGAGAAAAAATATTTTTGCCATGACGAGATTAAACTCGACATGTCGACTTTAAAGTCGACATGTCGACATTAAACTCAACATTTCGAGAATAAAGTTGAAATGTCATGTTGAGTTTAATCTCGACGTGTCGACTTTAAACTCGACATGTCGACTTTAAACTCGCCATTTCGAGAATAAAGTTGATATATCGTGGCGACTTTAATCTCGACGTGTCGACAATAAAGTTGAAATTAGTTCAAGAGAGCCAACCGCTGCACAGGATACATGCACAGAATCCAGAATCAGACATGCCTTGTGTAGATGATTTGGTCAAATTGTACTTTAGAATCGGGTTTAGCAATAAGGAAATCCTCTGTCTTTTAGCCCAGAACCACAGTGTGATTATTAGTGTAAGGACGCTGAAAAGGTTGTGCCGAAAACATCAACTTTTCAGAAGGAAAAATCATACAAACTTGGAAGAAGTGGCCGCATTCTTGCATACTGAAATTGCTGGAAATGGGCAGATGCAAGGATATCGATGGTTACATCTGCGTGCAATACAGAGAGGTTATGTTGTATCGCAAAATACAATAAGACAATTGATCAAGTTGCTTGATCCTGAAGGGGTGGAGTACAGGCGTGCGCGGCGCCTGAGACGCAGGCAATATCACAGCAAAGGTCCCAATGCGCTCTGGCATATGGATGGGTATGATAAGCTAAAGCCATACGGCATTGCCATCAGTGGTTGCATTGACGGTTTTAGTCGCTATATTGTGTGGATGGAGGCCTACATAACAAACAACGATCCAAAAGTAATTGCCGACTACTTCGTCTCATCCACAACTCGCTTGGGAGGATGTCCGGAGCGACTGCGCGCTGACAGAGGGACGGAAAATGGGCACATCGAAAACATGCTTATCTTCCTGCGCAGGAATCACACAGACTCTTTCGCAGGAGAACGAAGTTTCATCTATGGACGCAGCACTGCAAACCAGCGAATTGAATCCTGGTGGGGGGTCTTGAGGAGACAGAGTGTACAGTTCTGGATCAACCTTTTCCAAACTCTTCAACGTGATGGGCATTTCTCAGGGGATTTCTTGGATAAGAGTCTGATCCAATTCTGCTTTCTAAATCTAGTTCAGGTTAGTATATAAGCCTACACTCATTATCTCAGTCCTTTTAATTGTGTGGAAATTCATGCCACAGGTGCAGGGCCGGATTTAGGAGGATGGGGGCCCCTGGGCTGGAGTCAGGATGGGGGCCCCTGGGCTAGAGTCAAAAAAAAAAAAAAAAAAAAAAAAAAAAAAAAAAAAATATATATATATTTTGTTTTAGAGGATGAGCAGAAAATGACCGAACAGTAAGTTTTGACAACTTACAACTTTAATAAGCCAGTTGTCACAAACTACAAACAACTCTGAACTCTTTTCTAGAAAGACTAAACCACATGTTGGGGTTGAAACTAGAATATGATGCTTGCATCACAAAATAAAATCACTGAATAGTGAACACAAACTATAAAACAGATTGAGTGCAAGAAAGTGCAATGCTCAAATATACTTTTACAAAGCAAAGCGAGTAAAACAATATTTATACAAATATCCCCAGCATTTACAAGTCCAAATAAGTACTACCTGTATATAAAACACACGCCCTAAACTCCGGTGCCCCTTATGTATGTGTTAAATACAGAAATGGCACACATAACTGAGACTACGCCTTTTAGGACGGTGCGCCTTATGGTCGTGAAAATACAGTAGTCATTGATTAAATTCTGAGACTATCCATTCACAAAAATATAAAACATCCTTCGGGGCCCCCGAAATGCCGGGGCCCTGGGCTGCAGCCCCGGTAAGCCCCTGCTAAAATCAGGCCCAGTGTAGTATGTTTGTTAGAGTCTTATTTTCATCTCTTGTCTTTTTGCTGCACATTTGTTTATTCTAATATTTTTTTTTTTATGCAGGCTGAACTTGATGAAGTCGTGCAAACCTGGAATTCACACAAGTTGACAGCAAGGGCAGGCCAGGGTGTGACTGGAGGTCGCCCTATTTTGATGTACACTCTACCACAGATGTATGGTGGTGAGGACCATCTCAAGACAATTGACAAGGAAGAGCTGGACCTTTGTAAGGAGGAATGCACCCCCAAAAGTCAATACCCATGTGATGAGACTGTATTTGAGCTCTGCTGTCTTCTGATGCAAGAAAATGGATGGGATGCTCCAAGAGATGCATTTTCTGCTGCTGAACTGTACACTTCATTGAGAACTGAAATACTGTTTCATTTGTAAGGGTGGATAATTATTTCTGTACTATTGAGGGTTGTTGATGTTCGTTATATCACGATGAGAAATAGCATCCACTAGAGAACAGTTATAGTGTTACTTCTTTAATTAATGCATGCCATTTTAATTTTTAGAGCAAATTTAACAAAACGTAATCCCCTCAAGTAATATATTGTAAAATCAGTAACTGTCTAACTCTAACCGAACCTGCATGTGGGCCTATGGCTTGGAAACAAACCTGCTCACCAGACTTGTGGTAAAGAAAATAAGTTTGTGGTATTAGCTTGCAGCTGCTTAATGTTTGAGTGGATCTTACCCTTTGTTTGTTTTGACTGTGAAATGATTAACTTGCCAACCTACCATCCATTCAACACATTGGACAGGTCATAGTAGCTGCTGGAATAGGAAATAAAAGAACTAAATGTTTGTACTGAAAAAAAACGTTTCCTCCTAATATCCACACCACACCCTTTAACTTAAGGAACAGTTAAAAAGACAACCCACAGATGAAATTGAAGATTTAATATGAAATCATGAACATGACAACATTTGTAATATCTCCACCAATTAAGAAAAGTGCTTTATGCATACAATGCCTGAGGAGCATTTAAAAAAAATTAAATAAAAAACAGGTACAAAAATAGAAATTGCTATAAAATCACAAAAATAAAATCGTGTTTTTAGTTGGCTACCTCAAAATCCCTTTTTTTTCAATACAGAACCTGCAGCTTATTCAAATACACCTCAAATGTAAATGTTCCATTGTTGTTAACCTGGAACATAGTTCCTACTTATCAAAACGTATCAATACACAAAGAGGTCATCATCAATGCAGCACCTTAAATGCAAATGTTAACCTGGAACATAGTTTATGAACACACCTTTGAGGAACTGGAGCTTATCAAAACTTTTCAATACACAAAGATGTCATCAATGCAGTTCAAATGTAAACAGTTCAATGCAGTTCAAAACGCACAATTATTGTTAACCTGTTGAGAAATATAGGCTGGTGTAAAATCATAGCATCAAATATTTGGCTAATTTATTGGCTTGTTAGTTACTGCATGAAACAAGACTTGAAGACAAACTACCTTTAAATGGTTTTCAAAGTGGAAGAACAATAACACTGCTATTTTGTGTCAGTCAAGTATGACAGTGGTCCTACACATTTTGGAAACAGCATGGCCACAATCATGTCTGAGGTGCCACATATTGGGCTACACTATGTCCATCACCCAGACATTGCTCTTAAGGACGTCATTGAATTCAGCACGAAAGACTGGGAAACTTTCATAGGAGTCACATAGCTCTAGCAACATTCCACATGTCCGAGCAATTGGCCGTCTTGTGAAATCAGACATTCCTGTGAACTCAACAGTGAGACTGTCAGACACAATCAAATTGGACCCTGTGCAGAATCTCAGAAACTTAGAGAGTTCTTCTTCATCCAGTTCCCTGATATACCTTCGCAGATGATGTTCCACCTCTTTTTGGTTTGGGGTCATATGTTCTGGGAACTTCAACAGCTTCAACACCTTCTTAGTTGTTGCTTTAAGGTCGGCATACATCTTTGTTAGCTTCGCATAATTGAGAGTGATGCTTGGTGTTGTGATTTCCCTCCAACAATCAATAACAAACATTGGCTTTTGCACAAGTTCTTTGTGGGCAATTTCTGTCAGAATAGTTGGAAGATTGTCTACTGAGATTCTTCTTCTGCATTCGTAGTTGTTGAGAGTCTCTACAAGGTCATCCATGTCAACTGAGGAGAAATCTTGTAACGCTTGCTGGAGGATCTCTCGGTCTTGACCGCTTACATATTGCAGAAAGCTTTGGGTCAGGTCACTGTACACAGCTCCAAATAACATCTCCTCCACAAAAACAGATGCAAGCTTGATAGGAAGGTAGTGGCAATCTTGGTATCCTCTCACAAAAATTCTGCCAATGGCTTTCCAGGTTTCAGCCTTGAAATCGTGTCTGATAAAAGGTACTTTAATTGCTGTTCCAAGTGTGCAACGATCATAGAAGTCTAGCCAAAAATCGCTGAGGACATCTCTAAGAACTCCTGACCCAACGCCAGCTTCCTCTTTTTTATCTGGGAGTATTCGCTTCACTTCCAGTGGTCTGGTCAGAGTGTCTGGGTCAGAAAATGCTTCGATCATGTCATTGAAGGAATTTGAATAGTGGATAGTTATAATTTTTGTTTGAGTTGTGTGGTCAGGTGTTTCAGGCTCGTAAATCAGTGTGTCATTAAAATCAAATTCAGCACCTGGTTGAGGGCAAAATGTGATTTCAGGGTCAGAGATATACGGGTTATCTGCTACTATGACATAGTTTTGCAGAACAACTACATCCTCCTGTAATACTTCTTGTAGAAGAGAACTGCTCTCTGACACCACTGGGAAGTCGTTGACTGTGTGATTTGTAGCAGTTGAACCATCTGTGATAACTGGGTGAGGAAGAGTGACCTGGTCCTGGTCTTGGTCTTCAGCTGAGTAAGTGGACACCAGAGACAGGGATTGGCTGTCTGACACTTCACTAATTTCCTCTTGGCCCTGAAGGATAGGATTATCACATTTGTCTTCTGAATCATAGGTAGAGGCATCTTCATCTAAGTGTGGCTTAGGCTGAGTGGCAATATAGAAACGCAGCTTGGCTAGTTTGACAGTGTCATATATTGCACCAATTGAGACATGATCAGTGAAAGTGTTTTGTTTAAAGTCCCACACATCAAATGTGAAGTCTGATTCATGGCCTTTACTTGAAATGCCATTAGGGAAAAAGAGATTTTTCCCCTCTTTCAGGATTTCATCATATCCACCACTCGTGTCCATCACAACCTTTCTGGTTCCCCCTCCTTGTTTTGCTCTAACCTGTTTAGCCTCACTATCCTCTTTGTGGATCCAACCTATCTCAACAGTCCGTTTAGTTGTCCTTTGTACCTTTGTTCTGGAGTTTTTAGGTACCTTCTCGTTGTCTTTGGTTTCCTTTTCACTATTGCTGGCTTCTTCTTCTGTTTCTTTGTTTTCTCTATTTAGCATCATTTTCTTCCTGAGCTTTTCAAATAGACCCATTTTTCGCTTTGAGACAGGGGCTTGATTCCTGCAAAAATTGAAAAGTGCAATTCTGTCTCCATATGAAGGAATGTATTTGGCCAAAGCTGAATCGTCCATAAGCGTGACAACATCTTTGTCAATCTGTGGAGCAGAGAACAACCATGATAAGGGTAAAATATCACAACACTTCAACATTTTCATCCATTTTCCCCAGAAATACAAAAATACACTGTAGGGGCCAAATGTCTATTTTATGTATAGTTTTGAATTCACTTGTATTATGTGAATTTGATATTTATTTTACATTTATGAGTGACATTAATAATTTAAGTTAAAACGTATGTATAAGGTTAAAATGTGAATTTACAACAATTAAAGGACGCCACCTAGTGGGCATTTAATGACGTTTTAATTTTGCGTGAGCTGTGCAGTAAGGGGCATTGTAAAATTGACACGGGAGGAGGAAGGTTGGTGCCTCACGGTTTTCTGACCGTGCCATGCTCGTGCTGTTACCATGTGGAGCCTTAGATTTAGATTTGTAAGAGTTTAGGAGCATATTTTCATTTTTGTTCGTTTTTGTTATCGCCTTTGTTCTAAAATAAAATACAAAAACGTGACGTAAGTGGAAGCAATTTTTTCCTTTTTTTTTTTATCCTGGAACACGCGTCAGCCACAAAGCTCCAACCTATAACAGATTTAACTGAGACTTTTGAAAATACCCTACATACCATCGGTGTCACCAGACCCCATTTACTGGGGCACGTGCCCCAGTATAAATGAGCTGTGCCCCAGTATAAATCTCATGAATATTTGCAACAGTGATACATTTTTTTAATGCATCAATTTAGATAATGGGAGGAGACGTATATTTCTACTCAAATGCGTACATCCAAATTGAGGATGTATTAGCGCCCCCACGACAGCGCATGTCACTACATGAACTGCAGGTAAATTAACGCGCTGCTCTCAGCTGAGTTGATGGGACACTGTGCGGCGGCGACGCATTTTTAGTTCTGGTAACGTTTCTTACCTGTCAATTTTATTATTTTCCCAGTGAAACCACATGATTTATAGGCTACTAACTGAAAATTACTGGATATCAGGAAATTCCTCACACGAAGCAGAGACAGGGAAGCAGTAAAACAAGATGAGAGAGAGGGATGTAAGGTCCCGTGATGAATTAGTGATTTAAGCTAACCAGTTACATTAGGAACGTTATAAGCAATATGATAGATATTTACATAATTATAAATTTACGTTTTTTAATGTTCGCTGTAGAGAATGAGAATGAAGGTGCTGGAGTAGGAAAGGGAGGAGGAGGCGAGACTGACAGGCAAGAGACAGGTGAAGGACAAGAGAGACAGGACCATGAAGGTGATGAGGGAGCAACAACCAGCTTCCACAAACAAGAAGGGGACATTAGTGACTTAGGGGGAAAGCATGATGGTCCTAGACAAGTGAAGTTGTCCCACTATCCCCAGGACAAATTTGGAGTAAAAAAAAACGTTCATTTAATTCAAAATGGTTTGAAAGCTTTTTATCATTTTTATAAGCCTTGTCATCAAGGATATGCAGTGTGTTTTCAACTTGCTTGATAACATCATGTTCCCAAGACTAACACAGGTCATCCAGATCTCCCTCACAATCCCAGACTACAGCTGTAGTTGTGAAAGGTCATTCAGTGTGCTGAGAAGGATCCACACTTGGCTGAGGTGCACAATGGGACAAGACAGGCTCCATCATCTTGCTATTTTATCAGTTGAAAAGGAAGAACTTTCTAAGCTGAGTGACAGTCTAGTGATTGACCGCTTTGCAAAAATGAAAAATAGGAGGTACACTTTAATGCTCAAAAAATAAAAGAAAAACTTAGTTCAGGTTGAGTTAAACTTTCCCCTGAACTAAAACTCTAGGAATTAATGATTACTTCAGAATGTGTATAAGGAAACTTTTTAT